TGAATTTAACGAATAAGGAAACGCCGCATGTGCCACGTCAATTTTTGGGTGCCACGTAGTGCATTTTTTAACGGTGCCGTGACGGTCCGTTAAAATGTTGGGTTTTTTACGGGTTTTGAAAGGTGGAAGGTGTGAATAGGGAGAAAAAATTCCGGAAGGTGTTGACCGCAGAAAAGAAATAAATGGAGGGTGCAAATAGGGGCTTTGGCCTTGAATGTATGCCATCCTTGGAAAATGATCCTTCATCCTATTGGTCAGATAGCTTAAATATGGAAATGCTATCAAGTTCTGACTCTCCAACCTCTTATGCTCATGGTTGTTTTCTGCAAAACAATTTAACGGTTCCAAACTATCAATTACAAGGAAGGAAGATAATCTTTGGCATTGAGAGTGAACCCAATTTTTACTTTTAATAGTTTTAGAATAAGAATCTCCTCGACCATCTAGACATCCTCTCAAGGAGCTGGATGATTTTTGCCACTCAAATGAATTTTTTCTTGGAAGAGAACCACCACATGCTCAACTACTAGAATAAGACTTCAGAAACATGACAAATGAGAAACGCTTAGCAGTTGCTTCTCAAAATATCAATTTGGTGAGGAATTTGTCAATAGTAAGTTCACAAGATCACCTAGAATATCTAAATAATGAGTTTGAATCATTTGGTGCATGTGGATTGTGTGCATCATCTATCCTAGCCAATTATTTGCAAACTTCATGTCCACTACTACCCTCCCATTCTACCAATTATTAGCAGTATGACTGTGAGTTTAAAGAATACATTCTTGTAAAAAATGAAGATAGAGTTGTAGATTTTAGCCATCTTCCTTTGACCTTATCTTGTACAGTCAAGTATCCTTATCTAACTGAAGATTGCAGTCAGTGTAATGGTCAGCAAGAGAGCATCATTAATCTCTTTATCATGTTCTTGAATTTCCTAAAAAGGAGATAATGTCATTACATGTAATTACTGAAGATGAGCATTGCCATTGGAGCTCCAAGGGTGGTTCAAGTCATAGAAGAAATCTTAACAATTTTGCTAGAGACATGATAGACATCCATGGCAAGCCATCGTTCTACTTCCAATTACTTTGAGAAAGAGAAAACATGTCCCTTTTTTTTTTTTTTTTGATAGACAAAATGAAGTTTTATTAAATCTGAAATAGGAGTACAAGGGGTGCTTCAACCTATTACATGATCATAAGGATATCTCATATTACAAAACTCAATTCAGTCCCAATACCAAATCTAAAGAAAATCCCTTTTTTTTTTCATTTAAATGCTTCCCTAGGATTCTTAAACCACTATTCTTTAGCCAATTCGGTATCAATCTTGGCCTTAATCTAGAATAGGGAGCGTAACTTAATTAATTCTATCATTATATCAGGAGTGTCATTGCTTTCCTTGAAAATCAGTTGGTTTCTCCACAGCCAAATGGACCAAATAACTGAAAACCATGTCACATCCCAGGCTTCTTTCAGTTTTCCATTCTATATCATACCTGTGTGTTGCTGTAAGTGCTTCCAACCTTCACATGTAAGAACACCTTGCTGTCCCCATCACGTATAAGATGCTTGCCAAATTGCCCAGGTTGCCTCATAGGTGAAGAATAAATGACTTGTTGTTTTAGTTTGTTTTCCACGAAAGATGCATGCAAAATCAGGATCTGATCCAACCATGGCTCTTTTCAACAGATTCTCACGAGTAGGAATTCTCTTTTTGTATAACTTTCCACACAAAAGTTGAGACTTTAAGTGGCACCTTAGTATTCCATAGCTTGTTGAATTGTATTGATCTTGGCTCCCTAATACTACTATTTAATAGGATGTAAGCAAATTTTGTTTAGTAAGTTCCCTTTGGTTCATGCTTCCATCTCCAGTTGTCTTGCTTCCCTTGCATCAATTTTCATTCCTAGAACAACTTCTTAAGCTCCTGTAATAGGGTATGCTCTCATCCTATCAGCTCCTTACGCAAACCCCACATCCAAACCCATTCTCCATTCCTCATGTACCCATATTTTTAATTAAAGCTTCCTTATTTGTTGCCACTCGAAATAACCTAGTAAATTTCTCCTTAAAAGTTATCTCCCCACACCATTTTTTTTGCCAGAATAACGTGTCATTTCCTTCCCCCACACTTTTCACCAAACCCTTGTGAACCCATCCCTTTTTATATCCTACTTCTTTATCTAACTTCCACAATGGCTTCCACCAATATGAGTTGTTAGGCTTCACCTCTCTCCCCTCCCAATCTATTCTCCTATGAACCCCATATCTTGCCTCAACTACCCTATTCCATAATGCCTCTTTTTCCACCACCAATCTCCATCTCCACTTTCCTAAAAGAACCATATTAAATCTATCCAAGTCTTTAACACCTAATCCTCCCTCCTTTCTACTTCTACATACTTTATCCCATCTAACCCATGCTATTTTCCTATGTCCCTCCCTACCAACCATAAAAAACTTCTTTGAATCAGGGATAGAAGATTAGTTACCTTTTAGGGCCTCTCATGGTTGAAAAGAAATAGACTGGGATACTTGATGGGACAAAATTCAAGAAAACAATTCTTCCACCAAAGGACAACAATTCGCAGTTCCAATTTGACAATTTGCATCTCAAGTAGTCAATAACAAGTGTCCAAGTTGATAGCTTCCTCAAGTTAGCTGCAACCGGTATCCTAAGTTATTTGAAAAGAAAAAAATCCACCACACAACTTAGTGATTTTGCCCATTCACTAATATCCTTTGCCTTCACATTGATTTCGTATAAAGCACTTTTGAAAAAATTCACTTTGAGTCCAAAGACGAGCTCGAAGGTTCGAAGGATCCACTTGATTGCTTTTATATTCAAATCCATTGCATCACAAAAGAAGATAGAGTCATCAGTGAATTGAAGGTGTGTGACCTCCAAGCGTTTTGCTCCCATCTCAACTCCCTTGTACATATTTATCTCCTTTGCTTTATAAATCAGCCAATTAAGTGTTTCAGCAACTATAAGAATAAGAATGAGGCTAAAGGATCACCTTGTCACAATTTTTTCTTCATGTTGAACTCCTTTGTGGGACTGCCATTCACCAAAACTAATACAATTGAGGTAGTTACGCATTCTTTAATCCACCTTCTCCATTTTAGACAAAATTCGAATTTTTACATCATCAAGTTTAAAAATTCCAACTGACACTATTATAGGCTTTATCGATATCAGCTTTGAATATCATTGTGGGCCTTTTCCTCTTCTTAGCTTCATAGATAACCTCATTTGCAATCACAATACCTTCTACAATGTGTCTCATTCCTACAAATGCTGATTGGTTCTGGC